AGAACAGCAAACGCTCAATAACATGCAATCATTATCTGTTTATGGGGTATGAAATGTTTGACTCATGTTTAACTCATCTATTATATCATTCGTGATTTAATTTAACTATGTCAGCTATTGCTCACCTATCTTTAAATTGAAATATCTAGCTTTCCGAAGATAGAACGTAATCTCCACATTTTCTCAGTTTTATATCAATTATGAGGGGAGGAATTTCCTAAGAAAATCATTCATGAGTAACAATGACGGCAAAGTTTTCAAACCAGGTCCTGTGAAATTGTATGAAAATAATTAGTGTCGTTAATCAAGCAAATGGATCACCGTGATTAAGGCCAATAATGAAAGTGTAGATTTATTTCCATAGCTTCTCTTTGTTAATGAGAAAGCCACCGTTGTATGACTGAGCAAAACAAAACCAGTTTCATCTAATAACCTATCAATATATTTCCGGGCTTCCACTGACGATTAGTCTGATATTGTCGAATAAAACACTAAAGCAGAAGTATTTATACTGTTGCATTTATTATGTTTTCCGTATACGATAAATGCCTTACTTCTATCCATTGAAATCATAGAGGAAAGGGTGAGGTTAAGTTATAAATACTAGAGAACATATAATACGAGCGCTTTTATTGTAATATCGGCTAAGTTAAAGCAATCACTGACTCAAAACTTGAGACAGAAGGGTCGAGATGAGTAATCCTAAAGTCCGTTTTGCAGAGTTCAGTTTATGCAGACGCTGTGTTTTCGAAATTAGATTAAAGCCTGTAAACAGCAGATATCGAAACCTTTTGTCAGATTCCGGTGTGGCATTTTCAAGCCTGAGGAGTCTGTATTCAGATAGCCATCCACATCATTTTAGATGATTAAAAATGACCACCTGAAAATCTTTCTTTCTTTTTCCAAAGCATCCAAGGTTGTCATGTATATGCGTCGGTGGCACAGCGGCAAGGATGCTAAACGACCATGCACATAGTCCGGGGTTCGATCCCCGGCAAACGTATATATCAATAGCTGGCCTGCTCAACTTGGGCTGCCGATATCCCATGCTGAAAGTTCCATACTTGTGCCAAAATACTGTGTGGAATCAAGCTCCAATCAAATCAAGTAAATAAATATAGTGATAGCAAAACAGCTTCACAAAAGGTCATTAGGGTCAGTTTTGCCCAATACAATATACATTAGATTACTTTAGATGATGCATATGACATAAGAACCTGAGTATAAATACCACAATCTTCCCGTCAGAAAGCCTAATCTACGAAAGGTAGAATCTCTAAAATATTTCAGGTTATATGCAGTCTTCAAAACGAATCTCTCAGAGACCTACATGACCATATGATGTAGACATTTTAGTAGACTGATAAAATTCTATGCCAATTCTCACGAATTATGCTGTTAGATGTTACAGGTTAGTTATTTCACCGCAGAATAAGGACCAGAATAAAATACATTCTCTGCTGTTGTCGAGCGACTTTATTGCATGTCCCCTCAATGACGTTTGTCTCTATGTTGCTGTAGCGGTAAATAATTCCCCAAAATTATTAACCACAGCAATCATCACTCAACATTGGATGCTGACCATCACTGTTTAAGTCGACTTGTTTAGCTGAAGGCTTACGGTCAAGCATCCCCGCCATTTGGTGCTTCGTCGTGTCACGTGCGTGCACGATTACTAGCTAGCTAAGCATTCATTCCTACCCGCGATTTGGTCCCAAAATATATATCGTATTTGGACGACAAAATCTGGTCTTTTGCTTTACCATTTGGTACTCGAAGAACGAACACTATAGTGGTTGTTGGTATAAGATCTTGCGTTAGTATAATCCGTACAACTCGCGAACGTCGATACCATCAATCCTCTAAACTGGTGAGCCCAACCACGAACTTCATCTTCAATTCACACGCAGATAAACCCGGTGAGTTCGTTCCTTTTTGTGTTTATTCTTGTACTATATTTTTATCGGCATACTTTTCGTCATGAGTGATCCTAGCCCCAAGGTTATTCAGATTCGCTCAGCCGCCAAAACAATCCAGCTAGTACCATATTGGCCCGATAATGCTGAAACGTGGTTTCAGATTGCTGAGTCTGATTTTTGTGAACATGGCATAACTGATCAACGTTCACAGTTCCTTGCAGTTATTCACGCTCTACCGCGGGAATTCAGCAGGTGCGTAACTCTGCAGATGTCAGTAAGTAACTCGTACGAGTTGCTAAAAGCATCCATACTCAAGAGAAACGTTCTCACAGATCGACAACGTCTGGATGAGTTATTTCGTAACATCGAGTTAGGAGATCAGTCAGCCGTGAGCATGCTGGCAAGAATGAAAGAGATCATTGGCCTAAGTCAGTTCTATGAAGGACTGTTCAGAGAATTATTTTTATCCAAACTGCCACAGTCAGTTCAGACTGTACTTGTGACACTTCAAAGTGTTCTCATAGATGATTTAGCTGTCTCTGCAGATAGAATTCTAGAGATAACGAAACGGCCAGTTACTGAAGTATACTCAGTTACCGAACAGACTTCGAAGAAGGATTCTGCAATGATAGAGTTAATCAACTCCGTCCAGCAGATGCTTAGGTCAAACGAGCCTAGCGATTCCTCCTATCGTCGTTCTAAATCCCCTCAACGGCTAAACGCACGTGGACGATCTAAGTCCAACACACGTTCTGTCAAAAATCCTGCCTGGTGTTGGTATCACAACACCTATGGCAAGGAAGCGAAATGTTGTCGAAAACCTTGTGATTTCGGCAAAGCCTCCAAGTCTGTGGGAAACTATCCCGCCGGCACGCGTTAGCGGCAACCGTCGCCGGTGGCACTAGCCGCTTACTTTACATCCGTGATGTAATTAGCCAGACTAGATATCTAGTCGACACAGGCGCCGAAGTCAGCGTCCTTCCTGCTACAGCAGCAGATCGACAGAAGGATCCTAACTTCAACCTACAGGCTGCAAATGGAAAACCAATTGCAACCTATGGTCGGAAATACGTCTATCTGAACGTAGGATTACGCAAACCTATTCAGTGGATTTTCCTAATCGCTGACGTCACAATGCCCATCATTGGCACGGACCTACTTAATCATCATGATTTGCTCGTAGACGTCCGCCGTAAACGATTAATTGACCACACTACTAGTTTGTCTATCAAAGACATAACTTACGTAGGCCCCAGCTTGTCAATCGTTAAGATGAAAGCAATCCTCGATCCAAGTTTTCAACCGATTGTTGACAAATATCCGGAACTGAATTGCCCATCTAACGACCTCCCGTGCATAACCAGCAATGTTATGCACCACATCATAACCTCAGGACAGCCCGTGACATCTAAAGCACGATGACTGGCACCTGACAAACTGAGAATTGCCAGAAACGAATTCGATCATATGCTCACCCTTGGCATCATTCGGCCATCGAATAGTCCATGGGCATCCCCGTTGCATATGGTACCGAAAAAGGATAGCAACGATTGGCGACCCACTGGTGATTACCGGCGAGTGCACGCCAAAACAACTCCTGATTGCTACCCTTTGCCTCACATACCCGACTTGACGGCAACGTTATCTGGAGCATCTATATTCTCCAAAATCGACTTGGTTAAAGCATATAACCAAATCCCGATGGCAACGGAAGATATTCCGAAAACGGCTATCATCACGCCTTTCGGACTTTTCGAATTCCTACGTATGCCATTCGGCCTCCGGAATGCGGCACAACATTCCAACGCTTCATCGATGAAGTATTTCGCGGTCTCGACTTTGTGTACGCATACTTAGACGACTGCCTCATTGCCAGTCCAGATAAGGAAACTCACCTTAGACACTTGGACTTGGCATTTGAAAGGTTACGCCAACATGGTGTTACCATCAATATACAGAAGTGTCAAATAGGCGTTGACTCACTCGATTTTCTGGGTCACACTATTGACTGTCAGGGCATACGCCCACTGGCTACTAAAGTCGAAGCAATACTGAACTTTCCCGAGCCAAAGACAGTAAAATGCCTTCGCACTTTTAACGGCTTGGTAAGTTATTACCGACGGTTTATTCCTAATTGTGCTTCTCTAATTCAGCCATTAACCGATCTCCTTCGAGGGAGCAACAAGGCTATCGAACTCGACACGTCTGCTCGACATGCTTTTATTCAGGTAAAGAAAGCTATTGCGGATGCCACCCTTCTAATGTATCAGGATCCAACAGCACCTTTGAGTATCTCGGTTGATGCATCAGACACTGCAATCGGCGCAGTTCTGCAACAACTAGTTAACAACGAGTGGCAACCACTCGCCTTTTTCTCGAGGCGCCTTCAAGTAGCTGAAACGAAGTACAGCACATTCGGGAGGGAACTTCTAGCTATGTACTGTGCTATACGTCATTTTCGACATTCAGTTGAGGGTCGTGAATTCACCATTTTCACTGACCACAAACCTCTGACGTACTCTCTGAACTCAACTTCAGATAAGTATTCACCCAGGGAATCGCGACAACTAGATTACGTTTCACAGTTTTCATCAGATATTCGCCATGTTTCCGGAGTGAACAACACTGTGGCAGATGCTTTGTCACGTATTTGTTCTTTCACCCAAACCGACGGCATAGACCTTGTAAAACTGGCTCGTCTTCAAAAAGAAGATATTGAGCTTCAGCGTGAGTTGTCAAAAACAACTCTACAATTAGCCAAGAAACCCTTAGGTATAGGAAAGGATACTATTCTGTGTGACATTTCCACTAGTACTCCTCGCCCCATCGTGCCTAAAAGTTATCGCCGTAACGTCTTCAATACGTTGCATGGCTTATCCCATCCAGGTATTCGGACTACTGTCAAGCTCGTAACTAGCCGGTTTTGTTGGCCTGGTATTAACAAAGAAGTAAGGGAATGGGCGCAGACGTGCTTAGCTTGCCAAAAAGGCAAGGTAATAAGACACACTAAAAGCCCCCTTGGTACTTTTCTTATCCCCGATGCCCGTTTCGAACACGTCCATATAGATTTAGTTGGCCCCCTTCCAGAATCTCATGGATACACCTATATGTTAACCTGCATCGATCGCTTCACACGATGGCCTGAAGCAGTACCCATCAAGGATATATCTGCTGAAACTGTCGCACGCGTCTTTGTGGAGAGATGGATCGCAAACTTTGGATGCCCATCTTCCATAACAACTGATCGTGGGCGGCAATTCGAAAGCGGTTTATTCTTCGCTTTGACTAAAATCCTTGGTTGCATGCGTTTTCGAACGACAGCCTACCATCCTCAAGCGAATGGTATGGTAGAACGTCTGCACAGACAGTTGAAAGCTGGTTTATCAGCTGCAAATAACACCCACTGGACTGAATCCCTTCCGTTAGTTCTCCTAGGGATACGAAACGCCTTAAAAACCGATGCTGGTTGTACTACCTCTGAGCTAGTATATGGCACAACACTACGACTGCCAGGTGAGTTTGTTTCTCCCTCGAGCTTCCCACCAGTGGTAGATCACTCCTCATACGTCAGCAGGCTTACAAACGCTATGCGTTCAGTTAAACCTGCTCCCCTCCGACCACAGTCCATTGATGTTTTTGTTCACCCTTGTTTAAAAACTTCTTCACACGTATTTGTTCGTCGCGACTCGGTACGTCGTCCTCTAGAACCCCCATATGACGGACCATATAAAGTGATTAAACGTACTGATAAATTCTTCGTTTTAGACAAAAAAGGCCGCGAAGACACCGTCAGTATCGACCGTCTGAAACCGGCTTACTTGGAAGGTAATCCTATTAGCCTGGAGCTTAACGTACCCGATAATTCACAAGTAATTGAATCTACTTCAGTCTTCGAAGAACTCCCTAGCACGGCGAAAGCCACTGAACCTTCGGTCGATCTTTCTAAAAAAACGCGTTCTGGACGTCACGTTAGATTCCCAGAATACTTTCACACCTATCTCACATAACTGAATGACACATCAATTTTTTTTTATGTTGCGTCATTTAACACAAGTAAATGATATTTTTCCTATAACCGTACATAAAATTATATAAAATGTATATCTTTTTTTTCCCGAAATTTTGAACTTTACATTATTTTACTGTATAGTAGATGCACTTCATTTTTTGTAAAAAACGCTAATTTGGTACACTTTTCTTGACAAGGTTCTCAGCAGTCTTGTTTTCTTTTCCAGGTGCAACGGGCACTGGACAGGAAACAAACGAAGCACGGGATCCAACGAACAACATCCGGGAAGCTATGTACAGACACCCTATTAGCATAGGAAGACAGACCAGCAGGCACTCCATCGAGCCGCTCGGAAGATTTTTTTCACCCGTCAGGGAACCATCGAGATTTTTTTACTTCCGGCTGGTCATGTCTTAGAATCCTCACAACCCCACTAGGGGGGGAGTGAGCTGTAGCGGTAAATAATTCCCCAAAATTATTAACCACAGCAATCATCACTCAACATTGGATGCTGACCATCACTGTTTAAGTCGACTTGTTTAGCTGAAGGCTTACGGTCAAGCATCCCCGCCATTTGGTGCTTCGTCGTGTCACGTGCGTGCACGATTACTAGCTAGCTAAGCATTCATTCCTACCCGCGATTTGGTCCCAAAATATATATCGTATTTGGACGACAAAATCTGGTCTTTTGCTTTACCATTTGGTACTCGAAGAACGAACACTATAGTGGTTGTTGGTATAAGATCTTGCGTTAGTATAATCCGTACAACTCGCGAACGTCGATACCATCAATCCTCTAAATTGCTATTGGTTTCAAGTGGCCTCGGTTTCGGAGCGAGATTTAACTGATATAATATTGTGATTTCATAGACACATCTCAGGCTCATACGTGAAAGGAAGTTATTATCCTGTAATTAGGTAAAGTTGTTCAGAAGGTAAGGAGGACGTTATTTTTCAGTTTATTTGTGTATATACTATTGTGCACCGAGTTGCATTGAGTTCTTAGTGCAACTGTATGTAACTGCATTTACATAAAGTGAAACATTAGGAATGCTCCTGTTCCTAGAATGAAAACATTATTATTATCATTAAGTTTAGTAATGAAGAATGGAATTTTTTCAACGTCAATGTTATTTAACTGAAGTTGTAATCTGTGTAGGCCCTCGGAGGAATAAATTCGGTATGGAGAACTCCGATGTAAACCGAAAGCGCTTTTAGTTTAGTAAATCTTACTGACTTCCTGTATAAATTTGATATTTGTCAAGTGTATATTTCAAATCTGCTGGAGTATTCAGTAAAGTAAAAGTTGTGGTGCATGATTCCAAGACTTGTTGTAGTCATTGGTATTGCCAGGATAGCACTTACTCGTTTTATGCAGCCGAAATATACAAATCTCGCTTTATTGAGGAAACACTATAATGCCTGCAAAAGTATTGCGTCAGTTAATGAGTTTCATAAATTCTACAGAATGTTTTCTATTCAGTGATTACTGTTTGCGAATTATCCGAGAAAACACATTTCCAATTGGGATGTAACACAAGGCTGAATTATTAAACTGTCATCCTTATATCATTTCAATCCAATCACACATATATCAGTAGGATAGTCTATAAATGACTTTAGAGACTTATCATCATCAACTTACAGTTTGCTGATGATACTGTACACCTAGACTATGAGAAGTAACCCATGATACTGGAAAATATGAAAAGAATACCGGTGTTTGATTATAGGTGTCTGTGTTCTATCTCATTAGTAAAGCAGTATAATACGGCGAATGCTGTTGAGGTTACGCATAGTGTTAGGTGAGGAGAGTAAGTTAGGGAAGCTGAATAGGTTGAGATGGCTATAACACGTGATGGCATACCAAGCCATCGCCTTCCTCGAAGGCTAACGTTAGCCAGCACATGTTAAGGTTCAAAATGTGTTTGGGTCGGTCGAATGAAAAACTGCTATTGGTTCATAAAATCGTTGACAGTCAGCTAGAAGAACTACTAGATATATGTCTTTGTTTATGGCACAGATGCATTCACTCTGTGTAATCTCACGTATCTATTCAACTCATGTTGTCACTATTTATTTTCCCTCAAATTTTCGCTCGTTAAACTTCCATTTAGTTTTATGTCTCTACCTTTGTGTGGTGCATGGAATGTGGTAAACTGAACAGTTGGACTTCTTTGCGAAGTCATACTGAAAGTCAGGCAGAATGACACAGGCTAGGCATAACTAAATGCGAAACACTGAATAATGGTCTCCAGAATGTCAACGAATGATAATTGCAGTTCTTAATCTTGTTCTTTGCTAAATGACAAATAGATATCTTTCAGTAATCTCTTCTTCCACCCGGGACTCGTCTCCTACTTTGCAAGTGTTTTTGTGCTTTATCACTTTTGTGCTAAGCTTTAAGTTATTCAACATATGCCGTTATTGACTAAGGACCTAGATGATATTAGTTGAGTAAGGTTTCGGTCGTGCAAACACGAGTCCTGTGCAGGTGATTGGTTGCATTATCATTTCCCAAATGGTATACAGCATACTGTACATTAGGGTAAATCTTCCGCCTTGCTTGCTGAAGGTTGTGTTCCTCAAGGTACTGTTATCTCTCCTTTTCTTTTTTCTCTCTCGTCTTACATGACCTTTCTCTTTCTAATGAGAGCAACCTCGTCAAATACGCTGGTGATCTGACCGTCTCACTTCCTATCATGTCACAATGTGTCACCAGGAGGACTTCATTTTTGAGTTTATTTGTATATATACTATTGCGCATCGAGTTGCACTGCGATTCCACATGTAGCAGAAGATTATGAATACCTTGCTCTTCTCTTCTGCATAAGAAAGTTACTTCACAAGAACCGCTATATTTAACTCAGTAAGGACAAATATGAATTTCTCCTCTTCGGTGTTGTGAGTTAATTTGTGAACTGTGTAGGCCCCTAAAGTAATGCATTTGGCATGCATGCTGAATAGTGAAATCAGGAGTGTGCATGTTGTACTAAATCTTCTGCGCTTTCTGTATGGATTCCATGTTCATGAATTGACCACTTAACAACTGCTGAGTGTTGCATGTGATCCACCTGAAATTATAACTGATAATTCCAAGAATTTCTGTCGTTTTCATCGGCAGCGGTTCACAGCCTATTGATTTTACCCAAGTACAATACCCATTGCTCACTTTAATGAGGAGACATTAACTATGGTTCCAGAAAAGTAGTACGTCAGCATGTGAATTTCATGAATCTGTAGATTGCATTCCATTCACTTTATACTGAAACTAAACTATGAGGGAACTGATATTTCCAAGAATGATATAATACAAGGCTCATTTCTACAACTGCCGTCCTTATTTTAGTTCACTTTCATCATACATGTATTAACAAAATTGTGTGTTACTCACTTCAGGGACTTACCAGGGAAAAGTCTTGTCAACTCAGTGTATGCTAATGACATTGTCCACCTAGGTTGTGAGAAGTGACCATTGAAACTGGAAGATACGGAAAGACTACTGGTTTTTGATCGCAGTGTCTGTGCCCTTTCTTCTATGTTAAGTATCCTAAAATGGTGGGTAATATTGGGGTGAAGCTTAGTGTTAAGTAGAAATGTGACTTCAAACGTTGTTTATAACACAGATGCACTCACTCTGTGTAATCTTACATATCTGAGCAACCATTGTGTTCTTTCCATATCACTGTTCGTTATCCATGACATTTATGCTCATTAGAGTTCCATTTGATTTCTTTTTTCTCTACCTTTGTGTGCTACATGGAATGTGATAACGTAAACAGGTGCACTTGTTTGCAAGCTTCTCTGTTGAAAGTCAGTCTGTCAGAATGATCTATAGTCCATGTATAATGAAATGCTAAAACGTGGATAAAAATAAGCAAAATGTCAACAAATGATAATCGTATTTTTTATTCGGTTCTCGTCTAATTGAAAAAGAGTTGTCTTACAATAATTTCTCCTCCTACTAGAGATAACTTTTACACTCTGTCCCGTTACATCTCAAAAGTTGCACTTCTCCACCGAGTTCCATGTTAAAACTCAGTCAGTCGGCTTTGTCACTGCAGCTGCCTAATGTCACAAATCACTACAGTGTTAATTGGCACAAACAATTATGAATGCCGTTTCTTAAGTACTCAATGCACTTCCCAATTCCTTAAACTGTCCAGATAAAGTGCACTGAAGAAAAAATAAACCAAAAGTCAGTAACACGGACATAAGAATTAGTGCTGATAGAACTGAATTAGATGAGTGATTTTTTTAAACCTGTAGTACGCATAACTGAAGTACTCATGTATCATTCACAGGATGCTTGTATCACAGAGGGCACTGAAACATAAACTGAGTCTAACATGAAATACCTTGGAGATGTTGTTGCTTCATAAAATGAGATCCAATAATGTACGAGATGCTGCGAATTCAACACTGAAACATTAATACTGTTTTCGAACAAAGCAAATTATTACTGTTGCACCTCGCTGCAGTGTTAATCTGCTTATATCCTTATTATTGCTGTATCCTAAGTATTGCACTCATTTTCTCATTTCCTTGCACTGTGTAAATAGGGTGCAACGAAGAAGTTACAGTGAACTATAAGTAAGTAACGCTGACGCAAGAAATGGTAGCAGTCGAAAGAAATGAAATGAGTTGAAGACCTTGTAATAATACTAGTAATCTCCCTTATTCCAAAACAGTACTTGACTTATTTACCTACGCATTTTAACGTGTCTTCTAATTATCTTATTTTTGTCTTTGTAGACATTGCCTAAGGTGCCGTTGTACGGATCGTCTGGAAGCAGTCTTTAATTTCATCTACCTTCCGCGAAGTTAGACGTACGAAAAGTCGAAATTTTACTGACTGGAAAACGCTACAGTTGGTGTTACTCATGCGGCGATACGCCAGACTAGACACGTTATAGCAACGTATGCCTG